AAAAAAAAAAAAAAAGAACCTAAGATAACCGGTGGTAGTGGTGGTGATGGTGGTGCACACCTTTAATCCCAGCACTCTGGAGTCAGAGGCAGGAGGATCTCTGTGAGTTTGAGGCCAGCCTGGCCTAAGGAGTGAGTTTTAGGACAGCCAAGGATACACAGAGAAACCCTGTCACAAAAAAACATAAAGAACCGAGGGCAAGCCAGCTCTGGTAGTGCATGCCTGTGTTCCAGCACGCTGAAGGCAGAGGCCTGTGAGACCAGCTTGGTCTATGTAGTGAGCTGCGCGATAGCTAGGGCTAGGTAGAGAAACCTTGTCTCAAAAGCAACCACAAAATCTCGTTTCCTGTACTTTAAAATGCATCAGGTGTTTACTTTGGCAGCACATATACTAAAATTAGACCAATACAGAGAAGACCAACGTGATGGCCCCTGAGCCAAGGCTGGCATGCATATTCATGGTGAAGTATTTCATTCTTCCAGGCAGCTGAGGACAAAGACAAGAAGGCTAGAAGGTGTAGTGGATAGCAGAGTATGGTAGATAAAAATGTCTTCATGAAACCTATTTTTGGTGTTGTTTCTTGCAGTCTGGAGATTGAACACAGAACCTCACACACGTAGTCATAATGAGCAACATCCCAAACCCATCATTTTGTACAATGGATATACACTAAATAAAAAAATTAAGTTTCATTGAGACAGACATGGTAGCTGTGCTTGTAACCCTATCATGCAGGAGGGAGGAGGGAGGATTTGAGAGTTCATGGCTAGCCTGAACTACATAGTGAGTTCAAAATACATAGAGCTAGCCAGGCAGTGGTGATACACGCCTTTGATCCCAGCACTTGGGAGGCAGAGGCAGGCAGATCTCTGTGAGTTTGAGGCCAGCCTGGGCTACACAGAGAAACCCCATCTCAAAAAACAAAAACAAAACAGCAACACCAAAAAATAAGTAAAGCTGTATCATAAGATCTTGTCTCAAAAGTCCAAAGTCTGGGTGTATATCTGAGGGCTGAGAGTGCTTGCCTAGTAAGTAGAAGGCCCTGGGTTCGATACCCAGCCATCACACATACACACATGCACATAAAAGTAGCAATAAGTATTTTTTCTTGAACAACATTAGTCCACTAGGTACTTTTCCTAATTGTCATGAAGGTTAGTGATGCTATGTAAATTCAGAAAGTAGCATTTGCCACAGGCAATTTGATAGGGAGAATATAAATATTGAGCTGGGTGGTGGTGTATGCCTTTAATGCCTTTAATCCCAGCACTCAGGAGGCAGAGGCAGGTAGATCTCTGAGTTTGAGGCCAGCTTGGTCTACAGAGTGAGTTCCAGGATAGCCAGGGCTACACAGAGAAACCCTGTTTCAAACAACAACAAAAACAACAACCCACAAACAAAAAACAGGAAGAGATGAGGCCTGTCACGTGAGCTGAGAAATCTGGGTCCTGTGGTTGAGAGGACAGCCTAGCCATGTCATCCTGATGTGTCAAGCTCCCTTCTCTTACTGGGAACTGAAGTATCAAGCCTCAGGGTACAAAATGGTGCCTTTTAACTGCTCAGCAGTCTGTGTGCAGCTGGGTCTCCATCCTGCTAGAGGCCATGTCTGGAGGGAGACTACGGGCTCTGCCCAAATCCTGTCTGAAAAGTACATTTGCATGTGAGAGAATCACGATTCACTCTCTACTGCTGTATTTCTGTAGTCCTGTTACCCCAAACAGGAACGTGTAGAGCGGGGTTGAGCACTATTCTGTGCTCAGAATCTTCTTTCTTCAAGTCCAGGACAGCCTTGTCAGGGTTTTTGTTTCCTCACTTTGCCGAGTTGTGTGGGCTCTCGGTTTTGCTTTTTGTTTGTTTTGTTTTGAGACAGGATCACACTGTGTAGCTCTGGCTTATCCTGGGACTCACTCTATAGACCAGACTGGCTTCCCACTTAGAGATTCATCTGCCTCTGCCTCATAAGGGCTGGGGTTAAAGGTGTACGCCACCGTAGCGTGACAAGAGTGGGCTTTTATAGTGTAAATCTTTTGTCACATACTTCCAACATATGCACTTATAAGGCATTTTTTTTTTTTTTACTTATTCTTTAAAAGCCAGGACTTTTTTTTTAAGGTTTTATTTTTAAATAATGTGTCTGTGTGTGAGTATGTGCATGAGAATGCGGGTGCCAGCGGAGGCCAGAGGTGTCATATCCTTTGGAGCTAGAATTACAGGCAATTGTGAGTCACCAACATGGGTGACTCTACGGGTCTCCTGCAGGAGCAATACCAGCTCTGAATTGCTGGCTGTCTCTTCAGCCCCAGGAGCAATTTCTTTGATGGTAACATCGGCATGAGCAAAAATGTACCATTTTCAACTTCTTTTGTTTGTTTTTCGAGACAGGGTTTCATGTAACCTAGGCTGGCCTTGAACTCTGTGTAGCCAAGGATGACTGTGAACTTCTAATCTTTCAGCCTCCCCCTCCAGAGTGCTGAGACTCTAAGCACGTGCTTTATATGGTTTTTATACCTGTTTTTATATGGTGCTGGGGGTCAGAGCCAAGGCTTCCTGCATGCTGGGCAAGCACTCCACCAACTGATCCCCACCTGCAGCCACTTGAACATTGCTTTTGAAGTGTACCATGCATTGGCATTAAGTACAGGACTTGTTCATTGTCTTAAATAGGAACTTTGAAGCCATTAAATAACTTCCCATTCCCTTCCCCCTCAACCTCTAGTAACTTCTCTTTTATTTTCTGTTTCCATGAGTTTGAATTCAGGCAGAATTTAGTGTCATTTCTGGTAGGGAACATTTCGACTGGCTACAGAAGATGATAGATTTCCCACTGCCAACTAGAACTCTTCCATCCAAGAGACAGCCCATGTTAAATAGAAGGTATAATTTGACAAACCCATAGGTACGACTGAAAGGGAAAGCAGTCAGAAATGATGTAGATAGAAAACATATGAGATCCTGTGTTGAGTCACTGAGTTCAGCCTGTGTTTTGTTTTGTTTCAGTTCTGGGGATTGAACTTAGGGCCTCAGATATCATGAATGCTAAGTAAGGGCCCTACCACGGCTATATCCCCAGGTTTCTTTTTATTTAAAAAAATTGTTTTAGTTATTTGTGTGTGTGAGAGAGGGACAGAGACAGAGACAGGGAGATGAGAGACAGCCATGGTTGTGTGAGCGTGGGCACACAAATAGCATGGATCACGAGTGGAGATCAGAGATGGTTTTCAGGAGCTGATTCTCGACTTCCACTATGCGTTCCTGGGTTTGGATTTGTGTGGCAAGCACTTCCCCCTTCTGAGTCATCTACCTGGCTCATTTTTCCTTTTCATTTTGAGACAGGATCTCAGGGTCTTACTCTGTACCCTAGGCTAGCCTTAAACTTGTGGTCCTTCTGCTTCAGCCTCCCTAGTAGCTGGGATTACAGGTCGGTGCCACCACATTTAGCAACTTAATTTTGTTCCTGTGGTTATATTTTATAATTTTTTGAGACAGGGTTTCTCTGTATTGCCCTGGCTGTAGACCAGGCTAGCCTTGAACTCAGAACTCCTCCTGCCTCTGCCTCCCAAGTGCTGGGATTAGAGATGTGAGCTACCACCACCTGGCACAAATGCATATTTTGTTTTCTGTTTTCTTTATCAAGTTTTAGCAGGTTTCCATCTTAACAATTTAAAAAATCCTGGAAAAATTCTTGCACTCTATGAGTAAAAGGAGAAGTGTACAGATTTCACCCTGGGGGAAGAGGCTAGTTTTATGAAGGAAAGCAGGTAAAATTAGTGTGGGAATTCTCATTTGCTGCACTTAAAGCCAGAAAATAGAATAATCTGTACACATTTTGAAGAGAGAAACTATGACAAGAAATCAAAAATTAGATTCCCAGACAAAAATGTCATCACATTTTGGGCAAAAGAGAGACAATTTTAGAATCAAGTGGTCAGAACATTTGTCAGCCATGACTCTAGCTGAGGACATTGTCTAACTTGTGTTAGAGAGGGGACGAGCATGGATGGCACTGTGAGCAACTGACCTTGGAATTATATATCCAAGTGGAGAGTTTAATCATTCAACAAACAGCCTCAGCCTCAGCCAGGCTCAGTTCGAACAATCTGGTAAACTACAGATGAGCAATGCTTCCTGTGAAGGTTCAGGGACGAGGCAATAGCATACTTAAGGCAGCCAGGCATGGCTCAGTGGGAAAGAACGAAGGAGACACAGTGTGTGCGTGTGTGTGTGTGTGTGTGTGTGTGTGTGTGTGTGTGTGTGTGTGTGCTGCTGAGTTTCTCACTGAACCTCGATCTGGGCTGTCGGGCAGTAAGCCCCTGCGATCCTCCTGTCTCTGCCCCACCCTCCAGCACTGGGCTACAGCTCTGTACAGCCACACACCTTTTTACAGGGTGCTGGGGATTTGAATTTGGGGGAGCTTTATCTGACTTTACAAATAAGGACTTAAAGACAGTGGTATTAGCGTGAGGATGGGTAAAATACAGCAGTGGAACAGAATGGAAGGTTACGATAGACCCCAGGTGATGGGTCAGTGTAGCAGGCTTTCTTTTGGGCCACCAACTAGCTCCCAAATCATGACACAGAGACTTATTATTAGTTATGAATGTTCAGCCTTGGCTTATGCTTGTCCCATTAGCTCTTATAACTTAATTTAACCTGTTTCTCTTCATCTACGTTTGCCTCAGTTCTTACTACGTTTCTTTCATTTTGTATGTCCTTCATGTCTGGCTGCCTGGAGACTGCCTGGCTGGCTGGCCAGCCCTGGGCGTCTCTGTCTCTTTCTCCCTCATTCTCTCTTCCTTCCTTCCTCCTCCTCTCTCTCTTTCTGTCTCTCGAGAACCTAGATTCCTCTTCTTCTTTCTTTTTTTTTTTTTTTTTGTTTTGTTTTTTTTGTTTGTTTTTGTTTTTTGAGACAGGGTTTCTCTGTGTAGCTTTGTGCCTTTCCGGGAATCTCACTCTGTAGACCAGGCTGGCCCCGAACTCACAGAGATCCACCTACCTCTGCCTCCCGAGTGCTGGGATTAAAGGCGTGCGCCACCACCGCCCGGCCTCTTCTCATTTTCTCTGCCTGCCAGCCCTGCCCATCTCTCTACTGCCCAGCTACTGGTGGTTCAGCTCTTTATTAGGCCAATTAGGTGCGTTATGTAGGCAAGGTGAAACAGTTGTAACACATCTTTCCACAATTAAACACACATCTTTTTTTTTAAACACACATCTTTATATCCTTAAACAAATGCAGCATAAACAAATGTAACACACCTTTACATAGTTAAAGTAATACTTCACAACAGATCAGTTGATACTTGACAGAGAACGCAATTCAGTGTGTATGTGATCTTTTCAATAACCAGTGATGAGTAAACAACTGGATATCTATGTGGGAGGGAAAAGAACTTGATGTCTACGTATACCATATGCAATAATTAATTTGAGGGGGCTGGAGAGGTGGCTTAGAGGCTAAGAGCACTTGTTGCTCTTGCACAGTACCCAGGTTCAGTCCCCAGCACCCATGGGATGGATCATGACCATCCATACTCTAATTAATTCCAATTCTAGGAAATCTGACACTCTCTTCTTACTTCTGTGGGCACCAGCATGCAAGCAGTGTACATAAGTGTAAGCAAAGCATTCATACATAAATAAATAAAGATAAAATAAATCATAAATAAGAATAAAAATAAATGAGATAGAAAATAGACCTAAGTACGAGAACTAAACTATGGAATATTTACAAGACAATGTTCATGACCTTCGAGGTAGGCCGAGTTCTATGTAAACTAAAAAACACCACAAAAGAATTCACAAGTTGACCTTTGTCAAATGAAAGAATTTCCACTCATCAAAAGATGGTGTTAAGGAAGTGGATAGACAAGCTGCCATGGGGGAAGGCATCCTTAACATGCCTGTCTGGCACAGACACAGAGAGCTGTATATCAGTTCAGCTTAGCTTTTCTGTCATCTGGAAAGAGGGAACCTCAGTTGAGAAAATGCCTCTGTCAGATTGGTGGGTGGTCAAGTGTGGTGGCCTGAATGAGAACGGCCCCCTGAGACACCTATGTTTGAATACTTGGTCCCCAGTGGGTGACACTGTTTAGAAAGGATTAGGCGATGTGGCCTTGTTGGAGGAGGTGTGCCACGAGGGCTGGCCACTGAAGTGTCCAAAGTCCAGACTAACCCAGTCTCTCTTCCTCTCTGCCTGCTGCCTTTGAATCACGTGAGCTCTCTCGGCTACAGCTCCAGTCCCCTCCAGTCCCCTCCCCGCCCGCCTGCCTGCTGCCATGCTCTCTGCCACGCTGGTCATGAACTCTAACCCTCTGCAACAGTAAGCCCCCAATAAACTCGGTTATAAATTGCCTTGGTCATAGTATCTTATCACAGCAATAAAAGACAGTAAGTCTATGGGGCATTTTCTTTATTCATGATTCATGTGAGAGGGCCCAGCCCGTTGTGGGCAGTGCAGCCCTTGACAGATGTCCTGAAGTGTGTGTGTGTGTGTGTGTGTGTGTGTGTGTGTGTGTGTGTGAACCCAAGAGACTCACTCATCCGTAGTGTCTGCTTGAGTTGTTCCTAATTCCAGGTTCTTGCCTTGAATTCCTGCCCTGACTCCCTCAATGATGGACTTTAAGCTGTAAGATGAAATAAACTTTCTCTTCCTTGAGTTGCTTTTGGTCATGGGGTTGATCACAGCCACAGAAAGTTAACCAGGACATAAACCTGTCTTAAAAACGACTCTCTCTAAAAAAGTTTTTGTTGTTGTTATTGTTTTTAATTGTGTGTGGGTATGTGCATGCATGGGTGCAGGTGCCCAAGAAGAGAAGAATGCATCAGATACCCTGGAGCTTAAGTTACGGTCAGCTGTGAGCTGCCCAAAGTAGGTGCTGGGAACTCAGCTGGGGTCCTTTACAAGAGCAGTACCAACTCTTAACCACTGAGCATCTCTTTAGCCCAAAAAGGATTTGCAAACAGAAGACGTTCAAATGTTCAGCATATGAAAAGGCAGCATTACTACAGTGTAGCAGGCTTTCTTGGACCACCCGGCACCAAATCATGACGTGGAGACTTATTATTAATTATGAATGCTCAGCCTTAGCTTAGGTTTGTTTCTTTTTCTTTTTTTAAATTTATTTTTATGTGCTTTGGTGTTTTGCCATGGGTGTCAGATTCCCCTGGAACTGGAATTAGAGACAGTTGTGAGCTTCCATGTGGGTGCTGGGAATTGAACCCAGGTCCTCTGAAAGAGCAGTCAGTGCTCTTAACTGCTGAGCCATCTCTCCTGCCCTTAGGCTTGTTTCTTAGCTAGCTTCTTTTGTTTTGTTTTGTTTTGTTTTTTCTAGACAGGGTTTCTCTCTGTAGCTTTGGAGCCTATCCTGAACCTCGCTCTGTAGACCAGGCTGGCCTCGAACTCACAGAGATCCGCCTGGCTCTGCCTCCTGAGTGCTGGCATTAAAAGCGTGCACCACCACTGCCCGGCTCTAGCTAGCTTGAAAAGAAAAAAAAAATTAACCCATTTCTATTAATCCATGTGCTGCCCCAAGGTTCATTTGCCTCATCTACATACTGTCCTGCTTTCTCATGTCTGGCTGTCTGGTCCCCAGCTGGCTGGCCCTCAGCTGGCTAGCTCCCCTTTTCTCTCTGCTCACCAGCCCTGCTTATCCCTCCTCTGCCTAGCTATTGGCCATTCAGCTTTTTATTAGACCAATCAGGTACCTTAGGCAGACAAGGTAAAACAGCCACACATCTTTACATAATTAAACAAATGCAGCATAAACAAAAGCAACACATCTTACATAGTTAAACAATTATTCTGCAACACAAATGTAACATATCTTTGCATATTTAAACTAATATTCTATTCCACAACACTACAGGGACAAAGAAATATAAAACAATAGAAAGTGATGTCACCACCTCACCACCAGATCAACAGTGTCAAGTTTTGTGAGGTGTGGAACAACCATAATCCTCATACAGTGGTGGTAGAATATAATGCTTTCTAGCCAGGCTAAAAATTGCTTAGTAATTCCTTTAAAAGGATGGTGCTCACTAGGCGTGGTGGCACATGCCTGTAATCCTAGAATTTGTGAGGTGGAGGCAGGAGGCTTGTGAGTTAAAGGGAGCATTGACTACATTATAAGACTCTTATCACAACACAGTCTTAACGTATGAACCAGAAATTCCACATCGAATATTTGGAAGAGAAATTAGTCTACAAAAAGATCTGGATACCAACGTTAATGTAAATACTAGCTGTGGGAGTCCACAGAGGTTTCCTAGTGAGATCTGAACTTGCTTTACCCAGCAGGGCTGCATTAGGGGATGGATTGACCATGTGCGTGGTTACCAGGTGTTTGGAAGGGTCTGCACTTGGATGTGCAGTGTGCTTTGATCTAGCAAGGGGGAGGTCTTTTGCCCCGCCCCTTGGTATTCCTTTAAAAAGCCCCTTTGAAGAGCCAGAAGGGGCGGGTGGATTTTGATCCAGGTTCTCCCGAAGCTATCCTGTGTTTCTGCCTGTCTCATTTCCTCTATCTTTCTATCTACTAATTCCTTATGCTCTCTCCTCCTCATAGGTAACCTTGTAAAATGTGGGGACAGCCTCCCCCCTCCACAACTAGCTTTACCCCCAATTGGCACAAGTAAGAAATGGTGATAAAAGTCAAAATAGGGGTCATTTGTTTTTTTAAAAGATTTATTTATTATGTATACATTGTTCTGCCTGCTTATATACCTACACACCAGAAGAGGGCACCAGATTTTATTACAGATGGTTGTGAGCCACCATGTGGTTACTTGAAATCAGGACCTCTGGAAGAGCCACCAGCCTGCTTAACCTCTGAGCCATCTCTTCAACCCCACTTCTGTTTTCTTTTTCGAGATATTCTAGTGTGCTAGGATGTGCCACATCTGAATCGGTGGGTGCAAATCTGTACAAATAAGATATGAGCATTTTATGCAAACTATAACACAAAGGAAAGAGCAAAACAAATTGTGTATCGAGGAAGTTTTAAGGAGTGAGGACTTTGTGTTAAAACTTCATGAAGATTTATAAATAGATAAAGCTATACTTGGGAAAAATCTATAATCAATATTTTCAGTCTCACGAAGACTGAAAATAAATGGATTATACATTATAATAAACGTATGAATTAACAAACAGGAAAGTTGAAAAGGAAAAATGCAAGAAAATGAGTAAGAAAATGTTTGAAAGTGAGAGCAACTAAGAGGGTTTGGAGACTATCTGGGATGCCGGGGGTGGGAGGTGTTCTTGTGATTTTTTTTTTTTCTTTAAACTTCAGTATCGTATTCTGCAAAAGCATACAAACAATATAATCCTGGATCTATTCATTTACTTAAAATTGAAAACAAAATCCGGGCCTGGGAATGTGGCGCAGTGTAAAGTGTTCACACAATAGGACCTAGTCCCAGTTCTGCAAAAAATAAAAATAAAAAAATAAAACCCCAAATGTCTGTTGACCATTAATCAAACAATTCCAGCTGTCTATGCTTCAACTAGCAAGTGCCAGACCATTTCCATACGTTAGCTCATATTAGGCACATGGCTTCTCCAACGTTGGGAGTGTCACCACCACCTTGGAGACCAAGTCGCCCAAGCTTGGCAGCTCTGATGTGGCCAGGCATCGAGACCTGACCTTAGGCCTCTCCAGGTCCCGAATGTAGGGTGGAAGGTCCTGGCGACCGTGGAGACCAAAGCGCCTTCGCAGATCAAACGGGCACGATTAACTGCAAGCGCAGGTGGAGGCGCGGTCCTGTTAGATCCTCCTCGGCACTAGACCACGCGGCCCAGGGTCTCCCGTGGCGGGCAGGCCGCAGAAGCCGGGTCCCGAGCTCGCGTGTCCCGGAGCGCTGCGCACCACCCCCGGGGCCTTCAGGTTGTCACAGGCGGGGACGCGCATCAGCCGGCGGGGACGCGCAGAGCGGAGAGGCCTGTGCGCCGGGCAGAGGGAGACATGCGGCGGACGCGGAGCGCGGTGGCGACGACCGAGCCGCGGGAGAAGCGGCGCTC